CAGCTAAGTTTAAGATATTTTTCTTACCATTTTCGAGAGATTTTATATTATTTTGTACTTCAATGCCTATAAAACCCCTACAATGTCAGAAGCATCACCTTTATTTTACAGGTATACAACCTGATACTGAAGAAAAATAATTGGTTATTATTATCCTCTTGTGTAAACTATTACCTTTGTGCATAAATAAATAATATAAAAAATCAGTCCTTTAATAATTGGCATTGAGCTACTGAATGTCAAAAAATCATAGCTGAATACAAGAGATATCCAAAACAAAGGAATTCAGAAACGTGAATAGGACATTATAATGGTAAAGGTACAATTCTCAGTAAATTATCTCAGCAATGATTTTTTAAGGAATTACAGGTACTCCTCCTTTAATGACTGAGTTCCATTTCTGTGACTAGATTGTTAAATGAATTGGTCGCTAAATGAGGAATTATATATAGTGTGTACATGACAATATTCAGAACAAAGAAATGGCAAAGAAAGCTCCAACTTGATGATTTTGCTTTTATTTGCATAACCTTTACATGTAGTACTGTAATGTATATCAGAACATAAAACTACCACACTATTCGGTACATCAGCAAAAATTATAGTACTGTATAAAAAGGTACACTGTACAAAAAAAGAAAACAGACATTGAGGCTCTATCATCAAGATGTATAGAACTATACCGAAAAAAGATTTTAAAAAGATGGGTTAGAAGTACAAGTAGTGGGTCATAAATCCGAATAGTGCATCTTGGTCAAAAATCTGAACAGTCATTAAGCAGGTAGGTTGTTAAGCAAGGAATGTCTATATTTGACATCATATTATCAGGATAGCTCAATGAAAGTGATTTGTTTCTTTTAAAAAAAACACGTGCTGTTCAATAACCTTTAAAATAAAATATAGCAGCTGCCTAAACAAATCATCACATCAGCTGGGTTCAGTCAATGTCAATCCTTCACATGTCGGAAAAGGCAAGGATGAAAATTATTCAGAAAATCCAGGATATTGTATGATACAGAAATGATCTAGAAAGTGCTCATCAGTAATCATGATTGAAAAATGGATGTAATCCAGACATGATCTTAGCGGATGAATGGAGCATCTGCTCCTGTTTTTCCTCACATGCCCTTTCCTGGCATCTTAACACCTTCCATGACTTCTACAGGGTCACACTGATCTCACAGTTGATAGCGCTGGGAGCTGTGCTGTGAGTGTGCAGTGCTGGCTCATTAATCAAGAAGTTTCTGCAGGTCACTGCCAGGGACCAGTGAAACTAAAACACTACTAAGAAGATGTCACAGAACCATGAACTGCTTGAATATGTAAAAATCACTGGAAACGCCAAATATCCTTGACCACAACATGGGCACTGATGGAGCCACTGCTCTGTCCTTTGCAGTAAACACCTTGGAGGCTAAAAAGACATCCAAAGTATGCAGCGAAGCAGCTTGCTGGCCAGGAGTGTAAGATGAAAGTTAAGCACATAAAACGATCACAGAGCCAAGAATAACAGTGATAATTAATCAACTGTTTCTTGTGGTTCAGAAGTGTATGCATAACCCTTGAGAAGATATGTACGATTATATGATATGAAACATTTCTATGAATCAGAAAGTTTCAAAGGTAACATCACTTCTAAACAGTTTATATATGAGAATTTATTTAACTCTAAATGAGTCAGTTTTATTATCACCGGAGGAAATGCTGCAAGCAAATAATCCTTAGAAGTGAGCCAAATAAAGGTTGCACTTGTGGGAGTCAGGGCTGAAAATGTGTATATGAAGTGTTTGCTTCTAAGCTGTAATGTGATCTGGGGTCTCCTGAAAGTTCACTTGCTAGTAAGACTCTGCAGACAGAGCACAGCACTTGGAGGGAGGCCATGGCTTTGCAGCTGCAGGATGTGAGAGACATTTTTTGTGCTGTTTCCTAGCTGCCCCCAGTACTATCAGCTCAGCTGTCCCCTCTGTTATCAGCTCAAGTGGAATATGTACTTTCCTTGAGCCACCATTTGAGCTCCTTTCTCATAGAATGCCTTTTGTGCTCTTTCAGTATAAGACACTTTTGTTCTCATTATGTATTTAAGGCAGTGCGTTCCTCTAATAAAGAGGGTTGTCAGCCCTCTCCTCATGTCATGGGTGTTCTTTTCATGTGACAGGAGTCCCTGGAGATCATTACCATCATCGCTATAGTGGTCAGGGAATTACAGCACTGATAAAATTGTTCTGGCCTTTAGCACAGCTGTTCTGCCTGTACCATATGTGATCAAATGATCTCTTAAGACTGTGCTTTAAGTCACTCCCTTCAGAATCAAAACAGGCAAAACATATACTTTGGGGATATTAAAATATCCAAACAGTGTCAGGTAGCTTTTTTCCCCACTATCACACATTATAGAAATAACACATATTTTGAAGATTCTTAGCTTTTCATGAATGCTGTGTTTATTTGTACAACATGCTTAGTGAATGTGCCTAAAATACAATTATCTCAGTGATGATTTTTAAGGAATTACAGGTACTACTTAATGACTGAGTTCTGTTCCTGCGAGTAGGTTAAGTGAGTTGGTTGCTAAATGAAGATCTGTATATAGTGTGTACATCATAACATTCAGATCAAAGAAATGGCCAAAAGAAACACCAGCTTGATGACTTTGCTTTTATTTGCATAAATCTTTCATGCAGTATTGTAATGTATAACAACATAAAACTATAGTACTATACAGTACAGTACAATCAGCAAAAATTTTAGTTCTGTATAAATAAAGTGTACTGTACCAAAAAAAAGATATTGAGGCCGTATCAAGATGTACAGAGCAGTACAAAACAGATGGGTTGTAAGTCGAGCAGCAGGTTGTAATTCCAAACAGCACACCTCAGTTTTAAGTCCCAAGTATCGTTAAATAGGTCATTGAATGAGGAATTCCTAAGACAAATAAATAAAAAAATTATGATAGTAAAAGACTGTAACACAGCTTTTGGCCTCTGAGAGAGGTAAACACAAGTAAGGATATAGATTGTGTAAATAGTATAATTAATAAGGCAGCCCTAGTAGGTGTGTGTTCAACTTTAGTTATTCCAAATTTTGCAATTTCTCTCCATTGACATGGAACATTGATAAAACTGACCCTATGTTCATCCATAAAATTACCTTGGTACATTTGTAAAGACAGAAATCTATAATTGATATTTTTTGTATTTGTGAAAGTTCTAACTAGATCGATATTCTGCATCTCCATGCACATTAATTTTATTTGGTGCTACAAATAATTTATTTATTTATTATTTTTTGTTTTTGTTTTTTTGTTTTTTTCTGGTACTGGGAATCAAACTCACGATGTGCTTGCCAGGCAGGCACTCTACCACTGAGCTAAATCCCCAGCCCCTACAAATAATTTAAATTATTTTTATATTGAAACACCTATGGATACATAAAAATGAATGGATGATTCAGAATTTTAAAGACAAAGTAAGACATAAAGAAACTATATGTAAGAGGATGACTGACTGATCTCCTTTCTCCCCAGACCTTCATGCTTCTCCGCTCTTTGGGGAATCAGGCCCAAAGATTTGAGAAAAATCATGATGATATTTTTTCATAGTTCATTAAAAACGATAGTGAGTGAATCCTTATTAGAGTTAAAAGATGTAAAGTGTCACCCTTTTCCCTACCTTTTGCTTGACAATTAAAGAATATTGGCCTATTCGAAGCCCAGAAATGTTTTTCTCCTGATGGGATATAAAGGCATGAGCCACGACTTTAAAGGAAGACTTTTGGAAAGTGAACATGTCCTGATTTTTCTTGAAACAAAGGAAACAGCCTATCTTGCTGCACTGTGAGTTTCTCTGGGCTTGTTTTTGTATCCTGAGTATTCAGCTGAAGACTTGATCTATAGTTTGTACTTATTAAATGTTTATTGGACATATAAAATAAGCTCCTCTCACCTTCTGGCAGCTAAAAGGACATAGGTATGTTAGACTTTTCCTCTTCTACTGTGGCTTATCACTAATACTCAGGGCAGTGGTCAGGAGAACATTTCTATTCACATGAAAAGCCATTGTATTCCCACATGCTGTGCTTTGGCCTGAGCTCTATGGCTAGAACTGTCTCTCCAATCAGTGTTAAAAATTTCTTAGTTGGAGAGTGTGTTACGGCTTTTGCCTATAGCAGCTTTCAAGCATAATTTAACATCCCTTGTTTATATTTGCCAGTTTTATTTCTTCCAACTGTGAGGAAAATTCAAAAGGGGAGAGAGGGGAAGGACTAACAATGAATTTTTAAAAAAATGATGCATTCCAATCATCAGTCTCTAAGTGTTTTCTGCTACCAATCTCTAAATAGTGCATTTTCTGGCATGGGCAAGACTAATAGGCTTAATGCATGGGGGTGTGGTCAGTGCTTCTTAGCATGTGTGGAGGTAAAGACTGAAAAGCAGTGACATTCCTTAAAAGAGAGTATATGAAAACTACCTAATAACTAAATTCAAAAGACCATTCATAAGAAAGTAGTTCAAGATTTATTTTATTAAGAAATACATAGTGTCTATTACAAAGTAGCATGTACATTTTCAAAAGTGCTCATAAAATAAATTAAAAATACATTATATAAAAATTTAAAAATACATATGCACACAGTTTGTAGCTGCAACAAAGGTATTTCTTCAGGAGTGTCTTGCACTTATCACTCTTGACTATTAGGTGATGCTTAACACAAAATTTAGAATTTAGTTTAGAATACTTGCACAAAATTTGCTTGAACTTTCTTTCAAATTGCAATTTTTGTGCACTCTCTTTTGTTTTTATTTTCTTCTCTTATAATTTTTTTTGGCCTGAGAACCTGAGAAGAATGAATATATATAGAAGAAATGCCTGCCTGTGACATTTTAAAAAAAACATCAATAGTTATTTTTTCTTTACAAAAGGTTTTAACTTATTTTTTGCAAATATTATTGCTTAACGTAAGTTTTTTTAATACAGGGTATTACAGAGTTAACATTTTGTGTACTTAATAAATATCATTTATTTTAATACTATAAAATATGATGCTAATGAAGATAGTTTTTTTTTCCCAAAAGTCGGCTGAAAAAACGCCACCATCCTATTATTTGTGATGTTTGCTCCAGGCACTCACGGGTGACTTTTTGCTGCATTTTCTGGGTATTATTTATCTGTTGAATGAGAGAATCAATAGTTAAAAAATTAATTATCACTGACTTTAACAACTGTTGAGTGATGGGTTGTATCGTCTCAATGCAAATCTGTCTCCTAACGTACCATCAGAGCACTTGTGTACCTTATGGTTGTACGTCTTTCTCTAAGGAATGCCCTCCTGTCTCTCCATTCACATACTCTGCGTCAAGGAGGCCAAGCCCCACCTCCTCCATAAAGCCTCTGCTAATTGCTTAGATCTTTCTTTTGAAACTCTTTTAGTACTTAAGCTTATGTGTCATTTCACTTGGCTTTCACCTACTGTTATTGCATCATGGGTATTTCCCTTAGCACCGATTACAGCATCTTATACATCAGGAAACACTGGATATGTATTGCACAATTGAGTGAATGAATGAATTTATAGTTTTATGATCTCCCTGACAAGATAAGTTCCCAAAGAGTGAGACCTATTTTATCTGTCTTTAACAACACAGTTAACGTAGGTTACTTTTGAAACTGCAGTGTTCCTGCTCCTTATCCTCAGGCCCAATTTCAGGTGTGATATCAGAAGGCTTTTTCTGAAGAGAGTTTGGCATATTCCTTCACCTGCATTACCTCCGCACAATGATAAATTGAGCCCCCTATGCATGCAGTAGTTAGACTGTTAAGAGTTCTCTGAGTTAATAGTAACTTTATGGTAAAATCTGCTAAATCACAATTCTTATTGATCTCAGATTTCCCCTGGGTGCCAAGGGGAGAGGAGGGATGAAGTAAATTTCTCTACACTCCCTCTTTTTCACCTGCTGTCCAAGAACTTGATCAAACCTATCCTCTGTGTTCTCTTTATATGGATGAATTTTACTGTGGCCATCTATAGATTCGTCAGGGTCTCCTTGAAAAAACGGCATAAGCCAAACAGGTTTGTCATATGGCTGCTGATCTTGAGTTTTTCACGCATGTGCAACCCAGATGGCTCCAACCCGTAACTTGATTGAACCCTGTGGATTCAGTCCTAAAAAGGAAGTCTTGAATGCCTAGATACTCAGATCGCACACTGCCAAGGTCTGCAGGGTTAATAAGCAGCAATTACAATTATCTGCACTTGTCTATTTGCTTTCCTTAAGCTTGTCATCGGGAAGATAAGTGTTTTACCTTGCTTGCCAAGTGAGACACTTAAGAGTACCCGTTTATATACCAGACACTATTTCAAGAGCTTTTACACGTGTCGTGTCAACTCATTCTGTTTTCATAAATATCTTACATTGAACTTACCAAAATATTTGTTTTGCCAGGGCACACAGAAGCTACGTAATTTATCCAAAGTCTTCAGAGAAGTCATAGAGCGGGGATTCAAAGTCAAGCTGGCTGTCTCTAGTCCCACTCTAACTGGCCACTGTACTATCCCCGTCTTTAAGTACCGAATCATTCAGTGCATGTGACTGCATGTGCAAAAAGTTCTTCTATAAGGAGAGCACACTTTCACGCTTTCGAGCAATTAAACAAACACAGGGCAGAGATTTCATGTATAAGGTAACGTTTTAAGAAAGCATCGCATACTTATGAAGGGATGATCCCAGGCAGTGCTGCTAAATCTTAGAATAGACAAGAGTCTGTTAAGGAGCCGTATACCTAGAATTTTATTTTATTTTATTTACTCCGAAGGTATGGATCAGGTGTCTGGGAACTGGCATCTTGAACAATCATCCCAGTGTGGGTTAGCAGCTAGGATATTCCTGTGTAAGAGATCCCGCTTTGAAACACTGACCTAAGCTTTTAGAATCCTAATTCGTCCAAAACTAAATCAGGAAATAGGTTGCATTGGGTGCAGGTATCAACGTGACCTTAATTCACAACTTGAAGCTCTTACCCGACTCTTGTTCTTCAAAAGATCAAACCTGAATTTGCACAGCACAACTTCTGCACTAAAGCCCCAGTTTAATTCAAGGTTAGTCTCAAAGTACAAAAAACCAGGTGTCCTGTGCGCTGTGCGCTGGGCTTACCTGAACTGTAGAGTACTCTGGGCAATAGCGAGCGAGGGTAGCATTAGTTCTCCAGGCAAAGAGTTCCTCGGAGAGTGACGGGCAGGTGGTGGAGTTGAAGGTGTGGCGCACGATTTTAGTGAGGCAATCTGACTGCTCACAGGCGGCGGTGACGTTTAGGAAGACGCGAGAAAACGCCGGAAAGGGGGTGGGGTGGGGTGACAGAGTCAGTAAGAATGGAGTCAAAGCGGCAGGGCAAGCGGAGAGGTCGCGGGCGGAGAGGGAAAGAGAAGCACCCGGTGGGGAGGGGCGTTGCCAGGCGGCGGGAGCCGGGCGCAAGGGCCACGCAGGCGGCGCCAGGAAGCAGCGCAAAAGGGGGCGCTCCGAGGGGGGCCCTGGGCTGCGCGCCTTGGCCGGTTTCCCATTGCCTTCACGGCCAGGAGCGCTGGCCTGAGCTGGAGGGAAGAAGGGACAGCCTCTCTCGGAACCCCGCCCTACCCGACACAGACCTCCTCTCTCTAAATTGGAACCGAAGTCCCAAGCTGGGCGCAGCAAACGCCTGGGGTTCAACACACCCTCCCTGAAAGCCAGCCTGACTGCCCGCTTTACTCACCGAGCTGTAACATGCAACATGGTTGAACTCGGTACTTTTGGCCTGGAAAGGAGAAAACAAAATAGGACAAGAAGGATAGAGATTTTAAACTCACTCATTCCTTAGCCCCCTGCTCCACGGATTTGAAAATGTTCTGAAAGCGATTTCCACAGGGAGCTTGTTTCCCATGTCACTGACAAGGCAGTGTAGGTCCTCAGATGCTTCTGACTAGGATTCGACCCCAGGCGTGCAGGGGTCCTGGTCTCAGAGCTCCCTCCGCAAGCAGACACATCTGGACACAGCACAACCACTTGGGCAATAACACCGCTCTCTGGATATCACAGTCTGCTCTGTAGATGGTCACGCTTTCCACACACACTCTGACCAGAAGTTCAGATTATCAGGAAAATGACTCCTATATATTTAAAAACTCAAAAGTGTACCATCTTCCACACCAGCATCCCCGCCCACCCTGAAGTGCAGTCTCATGCCTTAGCTGTCCTCACTTCTTAGGGCTCATCTCACTAGAACTCTTTCTCTTTGTTCTTTCTCAAGTCATCCACTCTTTTACTGCAAAATTAGAGCAGCACTTTAGAAGGTATATATCTGTATATGTGGCATGCCACCTATAATAAAACCTGTACCTCATCAGCTTCTGAATTATATGGCAATTTCTGGATAGTGATTTTACATGCTAAGAAATTTGGATATCACCTGTATAATTTTTGATGCAATATTTTTTTTCCAAATTATTTTTGTTCCTTGAACGGTAAACTGCAGTCTGTGTATATGTGTGGGTTCCCTTTTGATGAGGATATATTTGTTTAAAAAAATGTGTCCTTGCTTACCTTGTTCATATAGTCATTCAGGTTATGGACAATAAGATTGTCATAGTCGTCCCGAATCTTCTTGAAGTCACAGTTATTGAAGTTGAAAGTTAACACCAACCCTACCAGTTGGAAGAGGAAGATCTTGAAGAAACCTGATAGAAGAAGTAGTAAGGCATTAGGAAATGTGCTTGGAAGCCCAGTTCCACCCCAGTTCCACACTGAGCTCTCCCCGCCCAGACTGAATGGCCCCTAGAGCTGAGGGGCCTGCCTTGGGGGGCCAGGGCACAGGCACCGGTCTGGGCTCCTCATTCCCAGCCCACGTGAAGCCCATGTTCACCCATGCTGGTGCCTGAAGTTGGATTCTTCCTGATGCTCCAGAGCTCTCTGGCTCCACATATATAGCACCTAAACGCCTACGGGCTCTTTTCTCCTAGACCAATGATTTTCTTTGATGTCATGCTCTTCCTTTATAGAATTCTGAATTGATGATGTGAAAGAAAATAAAAATAGCCAAATCTATGGAACTTCACCAGAATTTCCCTCACCTTCCTCTTTTTAACTTTGCCCCAACCCTACATATGTGCTTGCATGTGCTGTAATAGAGGGATATTCACACTTTCTCCTATGGGAAGTGTCTATGACTGATGTGTTTCTTGGTGGGGAGGGGCTCCTGAACTCAGCAAACACGCTAAGGACTGAAAACCAACGTCCAGGAATCCTGAACATCCTTTGGGCATTTCCTTTAGCCGGTTTCCTCTTCTTGGCTAATGGCAAACGCAAATGCTTTGGAGGGTGAGCGCAGCCTCAGGGTTGGATCTTGCTTCCACCTAAAGGCATAAAATTGGTGACCACACCTTAGGGCCAGGGAGAATGAGAAGTTGACACACATGGGAATAGGTGTAATGAGTCTCTGACTCAAAATCTCATCAATTTCAGGGAAAGCGCGCACTCGGTGACTGGGGGAAGGGTAGCGCTCTTCAGGGCTGAGGTCACAGTTCTAATAAATATCAAGAACTTTTGAAACAGCAAAATCCAGCGCCCAGCCCCTTTCGCAGCTCCATCTGTTGCTCTCTTGGCCCGCCGACAAGGGCATTGGCTGTGTGCCTGCAGCGAGCTCGGAAGATGCTGTCCAGCGCGCAGCGCTCTTGGAGGCGCTCAGGCTTCCCCACTGCTGCGTCTCAGAGGCATAGCCACGAGCGGAGCAGACTGGACAGCTTTGGTCACCCCTGAGTCTGGGCACCAGTTTCAGGGACCAGAGAAGGGGCGAGACGATGGGGCTCGTGTTTGTACTCGCCAACCTTTGTAAATCCAGAAAGAGAGAGTACGCACAGCAAGTGACTCAGGGAGAGCTCCCGAGAGGACGTTTAGCAGCCTTGTCAGTGGAGCAGCTCCAGAGGAAGCGCTCCAAAGCAGGCAAGGCCGATTCTGAGTCAGCTGTTAGGACGAGCCCCACTTGGCGCCATTTGGTCACAGGTTTGCCCGCCGCCACTGCAGACACCCAGAACCCCCCCACCGCCACCGCCACACACCCTTCGGCGTGTCAGAGCCTGCATCATTCCGTTCTTGGAAACTTCCCAGGAGTCATCGCCTGGGCCGCAGAGGTTGGGCGCTCCACGTGAGTCGCTGCAAATGTCACAGACCAGGAGCAGCCTGGGACGAGATCAAGGAGCGACAAAAGATGCGGGAAAAGCACAAACTCGGATGGGGATGGAGTCCGAGGTAGACATTCTTTTTCTCAGAAGCCATCCGACAGCTGTACCAATGGACGCAGTTTTCTGGTGTTTGGATTGGGGGGTTTTAGCAGGAGTGACGGAAAGCCTCTGACTCACTGCTGATTTCAGAGATAGGCTTTTCTGGAATCCCGCAAATTTTAACCTTTTTAATGGTGGTACTCTTCTGAGTGCAGCGTTCTGTCTTTATCCCCCATCAACAGCTTCTCAGAGTGGGTTGATGCCAAAGCCTGATTCATCTGGGACATTTTCCTTGGCAGCTGGACGCTGGATAGGCAGACAGATCCAGTACTGGTGTTTGTATTTTTTTTCCCCTCGGAGCTGGTATATTTCCAGGAAACAAAGGAAAGGGCATCGTGGTGCTTCTGTCAGCATCACTTCATTTGTCTTTCCCTGTAGTTGTCTGGTGCTGGGCCAGAGAACTTTCCTCCCCAGTAGAACCTGGGTGGGCTACAGCTCTTGACTGCGGAGAGGGAAAGGGATGGCAGAAGGCAGCCCACTCAGAGGTTTGACTTGTGTCCTTCTGGAACTGGGCTGCCCCTGCCTTCTTTCCTCCTTTAGAGCACTGGGTCTGTGATACGCACAGGTCTGTAGCAATGAGGCAGGCAAGGTGCCTTCTACTCGGACCGAGGAAGGCACCTCTTTGGCTGTGGAGCACATTGCTAAACACTTGTTCCGGTGGCCTCCAGTTTCCTTCTCTGTCAGTATGTGGCCTCTTAGATCAAGTCAGTGTTTTTGCTTTTTTTGCTCAAAAACGTTTGGTAAACTCACAAGGCTCAGCCATTTTCAGCCATTTCTTCCTGCTGACTTCAAGCTGCATTTTCCATCCTTAGCTCCTTCATTCTCCTAGGCTTCTGCCAAAGAGTGTCGGAAGGTGATACGCTCTCAATAGGTCCAGAGCCGCCTTCCTCCCAGCCTCATTTCCTCAGTGTTGGCGCATGCTGGGCAGTGCTCATCTCCTGTGCCATTTTCCCCAAAGGGCGTGTCTCACCAAGTGTGAGCCTGCTACCCTTGAAGGTATATTTCTCTTGGGTTTCCCTTTATGACATCCATGCCCTACATTATATTTTAATAATATTTTCTGATCTCATCTCTTTATTAGACTGTGAGTGTTTTAAAAGTGAGGAATGTAGTAATTGTTTTGTTCAGTACTGACTTACTTTTTCCAAAAGCATTTGAATACAGTAGTGCCAAAAGGTTAAAAGAAATCAGTCAAGCTAAGACAAAAATACTATCAACGTATAAATAAGAAGCCGGTGCAGGGAAAATCATAAAAAGGATTGTGAAGAACTGGAGAATTAGGGAAACTGAGCTCAAAAATGAGTTTTGAGCTTTCAAACAATTGCAACAAAGGCTGTACACCATTTAAATTTATCAGGGGAAGCTAATATTCCTTAGGCTTGTGCTCATCATTATAACAACAACAGGGCCCAGTCTTAAGTGCTGCATGTAGTAGGTACTCAATAAATCCTCAATAGGATTGAAGCATGTGGAAACATATTAATCTTCTCTGAAGATCACTATCTGGAAGCAATAATTTTCTATTGAAAGGACCTCTCTGTAGAGATTTCTTTTTCTAGTTCTTAGTTGCCGTCTTCCTGGAATGCACTTATGCTTCCCTGTAGCAAACACCCAGGCCAGGGCATCATTGTGGACACTCCTGATGAGGTAAAGTTTCCTGTTTTACATTCTTTTCATGTGTTCAAATACCAAAGGTATGAAAAGTATCTGTATGGGTAGTTTGGAAAACCCTAGATTAAATTAAGGATGGTGTATCTTCCAAAAGGTAGGAAATGGAAGTGAGATCATCTATATCACTCTGATTACTCAGGAAGCCTAGGCAATACTCTCACATCAAATGGACCAGAAAATGCTCACTATGTATTTCTCTTTTCTTCTGTTCTCACTAAAAAGATTCACATTCACTTATTTCATCAATAGTTTTCTTATTTTGATTACTATTTTCATTATTTCTTTTATTCCCCTATTCTTTCCCTACCTCTTTTAAAATTTACTTCTTTCTTCCACTTCTTTAAATTGTCCTGAGTATTTAAAGTATTCTTCATACAAAGGAAGGTTTGAATTTGGAGAGATAAATCCAAATTTTCGAGAAAATTCTGCTTTTTGGTAACTTGTAAATTGTAGAAAAATGACTGTAAAATAGAGAGGATAGCAGATTGTTGGTGAGATGATGCAGTGAGATAAACCAATGAGATCAACTTTAGTTTGGCAATGTTTCAGGAGGTGTAACAGTGGACTTTCCTCAACAGAAGCATCTTTCTTTGGGGTCTGGATGTAAACTGCATTATGAAGACCCTTCAGGATGCCTTATAAGAAATATATGTACACACACACACACACACCCTCTTGGATTTCATATATTCATGCAGAAAGAAAAAGTCACACTTTTCAGAGTGAACACTGTTCCTTTTTTATAAGATTTTGTCTTGGTTCTCATGCTTTTGCACAGTAGTTCCACAACAGGAAGCGATCTGTGTATAGTTTGTGATGACTGCAGCAGGTGTCCGTTTTGTCAATTCTTTGCATCACACAGAGATTGTCAAGGAGCTTTGCCATTGACCTGAACCATTGACTTAATTAACCAAACTACATATATCCTCCTAGAACCTTTGCAATATTGGTGGACTAGAAAGTGAAATGAAGGAGTTTCCTATGACAAATGTGGAAAACATATCTTTCATTGTATTTGATTACTTTATTTTATTCCAAGTCTGGTATCTGCACAATCAGTCTATGGCTGAGAAATTTGGCAGATATGTTTGCCTTAGAGAGTGAAAGAAGCTTATTGTGTACATGTAAACTCAGTACTTGTACTCTTTCCTCTGTGAAGGGATAGTGTTCCCCTCATCCAGTAGGGGATAAAAGAAGACCTTGCTTACTTTATTATTTTTTTTTATAATATATTAGGATGTAAATGAAAAGAATGCTTATCAAGAAGAATGTAGGGGTTGAACTTACTTAGAATGCACCATAAAATTGCAGAAGTGGTCAGAGGTGAAAGATAGTTATAATTTTGGATATTTTGCAAAGATAGTTGTATAATGGATATTGTCTGTTTTTTCTTCTATTCTCTCTGCTCTTCCTCGTCCTGCTTTGTACCCTGGAAAGCCAACCTATAAGGAGTGCACTAATGGGATGTCTTGATTTTCAGCTTTTGGTTAAGTTCATCAGTGAGAAAGAGAAAAAGGCAAGAAGTAAGAGAGAAATGAAGTTGAGATTTTTAATTCACCCACTCTGTCCTGTTGGCTTATCACAGATTGGAGGCTCTTTTCTAATAAGGGTCACAGCTCCCATTAATTGATGTTTTCATCTTGCCATGTGTAAGGTTCTGGTAACCATTCCCTGCCTTTGTCCCTTTAGGCTTAGGAGTGATGAAAGTTCCTTACTATTGCTATCCAGAGGTATTGCACTACTCCAGAAGTTGTAGTTTGGCTGGAAGAGACACATTGGCCTGCAATAATTTATTAATGAAACTTCTTTTTACCTTCTAAAGTGGCACAGTTTCAATGAAAAAATATGTAGTTATTGTTGATTTCCCTCCTTATAACTATTGTAAGTAATATACTTATTAAACTCTACTCAAATTACCCAAACAGAGTGTGAAATTTATTTCCTGTGGACTCCTACCTGGCACAATCACTTACAAATGTCTCCAGTATTGCATCATATGAGGCCATCAGCTAATACTCTCTTCTTCACCTTTCGGG